TTTTTTAAGGGAATAATTTGTGTTTCAATTATCAGAAGAAAATGCATCTAATATACATTGTTTTGTGTATTCATTAAGTCCTACTAACAATTACCAATTAGACCTTATAAGTAAAGCATAAAAATCAGAATTTCAGTAATCCATTTTTCTGAAATTAAAAGAGCATGTTTAATTTTAATAACTCGAGAAAAAGAACACAAATAAATTGTATTATCCAGCACAGACTAAATTAACATAGAGGAAACATGATATGATTTGATTAAATTAAAACTTATAACTTTTTTCAATTATTTTTCTTTTTAAAAACATCCAATTTCTAGACTGTCCAAGAGAGGCATCATTTTGAATTTTAAAGCAGGGAAGCCATCTTGTGGTTGTTGTCAGTACTGCTGAGACTCTGATACTTCAACTTGGAAAAATCAGAACTTAATCACAGTTTTACATTTTAAAAAGGCATAACCAACAAAGGTACCTGCATAATCAACGTTTACATACCTAACCCTGAATTGTATCCCACATCTTTATAATAAAAAAATAAGAAGAAAAGGTATAACTATCCTGTCAGTCCTTAGAAATTAGAAAAACATAAACACAGAGCTGAAAAGCTTTCCTGGTAAGGCTCCATCATAATACTTAAGATTCTCAAGTAGCTAGATTAGTAACAAAGTATTTTTACATTAACCTACAGTTTATAATTAACTTCTATACCTTGGTTTAAAATGCTATGAAAATATAGCAAAATACGAAACTTACAAAAGAATATGAAAAATCAACTTTCTTTTTACCATGACCTTTTCCCATAATTTTTTGCTTACAAGTCACTACTGTCCCAGGACTTTGTAATATCTAAGAAACTCAAATTCTACCCTGAAATACTCGTATTGCTCATATTTTGCAATTTTCATCGACTGCAAAATATAGTTTCCCTACCACACATTCCTCCACTCCCACAATCCCCATGTTCTTGGAATCATACATGCTCTGTCCATAGGAAAACTGAAAGCCTGGAGAAAGCTGACATCTGTCCTTTCTCAACACTTTCTACATTTCTGTCTGAAAATTTTGCATCAGAGTTCTGGGGGAACTTTATGGAGAGAATACAGAAATTGCAAAATAATGTTAAGAAAGAGAATGGGAAGAAAGAGAAAAAAAGCTGAGCAAAACTATATTAATTAATAGTAGAGTTGCTTGCACTATTTGCCATTCTACTTTATCAGTGATAATAGCAATAATTAAGACTTCAGGCTGTAATACCAGCATTTTGAGAGGCTGAGGAGGGAGGATCATTTGAGCCCAAGAGCTGGAGACTATCCTGGGCTATATAGGGAGACCTCACCTCTACAAAAGATCAAAAAATGAGCATACACTTGTAGTCCTAGCTACTTGAGAGGTTGAGGTGGAATGGTCACTTCAGCCCAGGAGTTTAAAACGTCTAAAAGCAGTGAGCCATGATCATGCCACTGCCCTCCCAGACTGGGTGATGGAAAGAGACTCAGACTACAAAAAAAACCCTTCAGTTTCAAAACCCAGAGGACAACACCCTTCAGATGTGTCTTAGAATGTGAGATGCAAATTCAGTATGTCCAAGATTAACCATCTTCTAACTACAGACCTGAAAGCTTTCTTACTCGATCACAGTTCTACCAGCTCTCCATTCTCCTTTCCACTCTCAAATTCCCAAACTTGAAAATTATGTTATCTAACTCTTATTAATTATAATAACAGCACACGCTATATGAGCTTCACTTTGACCTTTTAGGAGAAGTTGGAAGACTCCGCTCTACACTCCTTTAATCTTCCTCCAAGGAGGATTACTGATCTGTTTTAGGGAAGCTCCAATCCATCGTAGTGAGCCTCAGGCCTAGTGAATGAGATCCAAGGGGCCTGGAAGGCACAGGGGTGAGGCCCTTTCAAAGGGACCTCACAAGTTTAAGAGAAACAGCTCCTGCTAAGATGACAACCTCCTCTTCCCTCTTGCTTCTTAAGTATCTACCTCTTAAATGTTGGGGCAAATGCTCTCCAATTCTTACTCTTTCCTTTGTTTTTCTCTCTCTGAAATGGTAACATGACAGAAAGGCTTAGAATTTAGTAGAAACAGTCAGAGTTGGGCTTTTAGACTGCTTTGATTCTATTACAGAGACCAACATAGCTCAAGTAGTAGAGCTGGGTTTAGGGCCAAAACCCCAAAATGATGATGTATCCATCTGCCTTATTTCATTCACTAAATTCCCTTAGAGAGATCTCAGTAATAAGAAACCCAACTGAGGTAATGAGGATTTATGCATTCTTAGATATCCAGGACAAAAATACCACCCTAAACTGCTCATGATCCTCAACTTTCCACAGCATTGTCTCTTGCATTTAGTATTTTATGTACATTATCTTTTAATTTTTCAATGTCTTAAGGGAGTAATATTTAAATGGCAAGGAAATTAAAATCTAGCAAGATTAAATAACTTGTCAAAAGTCACAAAAACTAATAAAGAGAAGAAACAGAACTTAAATCCAAGCCCATGACTCCATGTCTGTATCTTTCCAATCTACTGCCCCTGTCTTTTCATCCCCTCCACACTCAATCTAAAACATGTCACAACAATGCCACACCCCTTCTTTTTGAAAGAGCTAGTCTAAACTATACATGAAGTTTTCTGTCTAAATCAGTTTTTGTAACATTGGTTTCTAGCATTCCCTATTTGAAAAATCACTAAGTAATCCAGCTCTCTCTTTCATTCCTTTTTAATATGAAAAAACCCTAGAAAATATTATTTTACACTGAAATCTTGCATGGTCAAGATATAGTCAGATCACTCATTCAGATACTCTGCTTACTACATGTTGCCCTACATCTCAGGCACAGACTAAAACAGAATTTATTTTAAACAAGAACCATTAACATATGCAATTTAGTGACTGATTCTGGAGTGATGTGTTTATACTGATTCAGTTATCATTAACATGGTAAATGCTAGTTAGTAAAGCATTCCAATAAAGACACAAATAAAGTATTTTTTACTATATTAAGTCTTATTTCACTAAAAAGAAGCCAAAGTACATTTGATTCATGTCAAAAATACATTTCTTGACGATTTATTTTGGCCTAAAAGTAGTTTTATTTTTATAAAATGTGTGGAGTTTTAACTAAAGGCAAACAAAATGAGTAATCTATGAGCGTTAGGTTCTCAAATTCCTATTATTTTTAATAATCTTCATTAATACTGTGGAAAGAGTATTTAATGTCAGAAGCAGGCAATGAAAGGAAAAAACATAAACAGGAAAAGCAGACCAAAAAAAAAAAAAACCAACTTTTGTTTCATGAGAAAAGGGCTTAATTTATTTCTACTCATTTTATGTGTAAACTGAAGTCACATGAGTATGAAGAATGTTTTAAAAGATAAAATTTGGCACAGAATAACCTAGATCAGAAAGTTTCAAGTTTTTAAAAACTTCTTATTAGTCACATTCAAGGGAAATTGTAAAGAGGCCACTGTAAAACTTTAAGAAGCAAAAATGCTCTGAGAGTAAAAGGAGCAGAGAAGATTCTCAGGACCACTATCCTGTGAGCACAGAGTAGAGTTGGGTTCTCAGAATCTTGTAGGACACACAGAGAAAGGGAAAACCAAGAATCTAAAAAGCTTCAAGATTTTCTTATGTAAACCGGTGTAAGGAGGTGCAGATACAGCTTTTATGTTATTTACTCTTCCTATAGACAATGAGTACACTTATCAGACCTCTCTAGGATTGCTGCCTAATCTGGGCTTCTGTGTCCTGGTGTTCTTCTAAGTATGCTTTCTGAACCAGCAAACTCTCGTGGAAACATGTTCAAAACACGTTTGGACAGGGGTGGGGTGGTTTGGGCTTGGGCGGGGGTGGGATGGTTTGGGGCCCAGCAATCTGCATTTTGGCCTGGCCTGAGGGCAATCTGATGGACACTGAAGTTTGAAAACTACTATAACCTAAAAAAAGTAGAGAGGAAGAAGAAGAACAGAGATGAAAGAAAAGCTTGAGACTGAGAATACACAAAGGAACAAAATAGATGGCCTTAGCAAAAGGAAATTGTGGCAACGACATTTGCAAGTCTTCAAGTATATGAAGAATTATTCACATAGGAAGGTAACCAGATGTTCTCCATTTCCCCTGAGGGAATACAAAGAAGACATTATAGTCTTGCAGCATAAGAAATCTAGTGAGAATATAATTAAGGCCTGTTGACACAAAAAATTCATAACATGAATACATGTATGTGTACTGCAAAATGATAGCAATAATCAAATGCACAGCCTCACCGAATCGCTAATATTTTTCATCTTCTATTTTTATATTAATAAATTCATTAAATAAACTTAACAGTTTATTAAAGTAACAAAAATAAAAAGGTAACTAAAATTAAAAGAGGCTGGGAGTGGTGGCTCACACCTGTAATCCCAGCACTCTGGGAGGCCAAGGCGAGAGGATTGCTTGAGCCTAGGAGTTTGAGATCAGCCTAGACTAGCATAGCAAGACCTTGTCCCTACAAAAAAAATTTTAAAAATTAGCTGGACATGGTGACACATGCCTGTAGTCCTTTGCTACACAGGAGGTTGAGATGGGAGGATCACTTGAGCCTAGGAGTTCGAGGCTGTGGTGAGCCATGACATGTCACTGCACTCTAGTGTGTGTGGCAAAGTAAGACTTGACTTAAAAAAATAAGTAACTACATGAATAAAAGTAAAATTAAAAGTAAGAAAAGGTCTTGATCCTGAGCTCCAATAATATCTGGTAAGTCTCACTGGTAAAGTAAATATGCCATAGTTATAATTCCTGAAACTAAAGGTTTTCTTTAATGTCAAGTCATCAAAAATTTAACCCAATTTTCCATGAAAGTCACCATGATAATGAATCTGTGACCTGCTCACATCCAAAATATTTTGCAGTTAGTCTTTATTGACAAAAATAATTCTAGTAATTTAGCAGATGTTCATACTTATTATATTTAGCATAATTTTGTTAATGGTTTTCTTTACCTTTTCTACCTTTCCACCATTGATGTCACTGGGGAGGAATTTCTTGCCAATTGTTCTCAGATCTGTCTAAAATAAAAATATTATTATTAAAATTATAGAAAAAAGTAAATCTAAATATAATTACATGAACAAAAGATGAAATTATATTTTGTGGAACAAAAATTAAAGTATTTTAACTGATTATGAGATCCATACATATAATCAATCAATCTTTTCAAGTAACATAGGCCCAAATGTAATTTGTTTAAAGTATATCAGGAAGATGAATAGAAACATATCAGGCCTTAATTCTGGTTATACTTCCTCAGGTAATCTTTTAACTTCTCTATTAAAAACCCAAACTTTATTTTATGTAAATCATGGTCAACCAAAAAATTAATGCCACATTCCAAAATCAAATGACAGCTTTTGGATACACACACATAGTATACTTTTAACACCTGAATAACACATAACCTTGATATGAAATGAAAACATATGACTGTACAGGTCATGATATCCACAATTTAACAAAGGTACACAACATACAATACTCAAACAAACAATACCACTGGAATAGCAAAGACGTTTTAGTGAAAAATTACTGGAGTAAAAATGTATTGCACTGCCTAAACAAATCACACAAACAGAAGCTGGTGAACAAATCATTGACTATATAAAAATAAAGAAGTATGAGAAAAAAGAAAAATGTAAGAAAATAAATAAAAAGAGAACTTCAACTACACAAACTACATAAAAAGTAGAACTTTTAAGGCCTACGTATTCTCTAGGAAGTAAAAATCTAAAGGAATATTAAGAAATTTGTTCAGCGAAAAATTGTCAGTATTTATAAAAAAGGTCTAATTATTTTAGCTAAGAAATTATTTGATGCTTGAGATACTGAGATTAGTGTAATAACTGAAGTTGTATTGTTTTATTATGCCTTAAAATATAGTAAACAGTAGCTCTTCAGCACCTTAAGAACAAAATAAAATAAAACGAAGTACATTTAATCACATGAATTATAAGGGAGAAACTTTTATTAAACTTAGGAAGAAAACATTAGACAATTAAAATTACTATAATGTGAAATGAACATATAAAGAGAGATAAGACAGTTTTCTCTGAACTCCTAAAATAATAGAATGTCCTCCTATCTGAAATATCCACGTGGTCAGCTTTGGAAACAAGAATATAAGTTACATGAGTCCACAGATCCTTTGCAGTCTTTTGTTACCATGATTTATAATTTATTCCTCAATAGATCTCAAGGGTCACTTCTAAACTAAAATCACCAAAAGCAACTGCCGGCAAACTAAGCCCCAAGGTCAAAGACGTGTGTAACGATGCTTTTGATTTGTTTTTTGCAGCCTAAATCCAATAACAAGGTACAAATAATTATAAACCGTATCCCAGATTGTATGCCTTTTCACTTCGAAAGTACTGAGTGATATAGAGGTAAAAAATTCTTACACTAGCCTTCCCTATCTTAGGACCGTGCTGAAGATTAAATGTTAATTACATGTGAGTGCTTGGCACAATGACTTGTACATAGTAAGCACTCAGTGAATGTTTGCCATCATGTTTGTTTTAGTGAATATAGAACATGTACTTTTTGCTACCATCAAAACATACATAACCATTAAATACATAATGCAACTAACAGTTTATAAAAACAGAGGCATTATTTTGAAGTCATTTAAAGGTTGAAATATTTAAATACGAATGAGAAACAAAACATACAGAAATGTTGCAATACGCCATGGTCCCTCACTTCTGGTTTCTATCAATAATTATGAAATTTAATTCAAATTTAAACAAAGCACTAGTCAAAAATCCTAAACTTTGATTCATCCCAACTATAATTAACTAATTAATATCATGACCTTAAACACTATCAAAAATTCTCTAAGACCAGTTAATTTATTCCTCTATAAAATGGAGAAAACACCACCAATCCTATCTCACAAAGTTGTTGTCAGGCAAAAAAGAGACAATATATTCAAAGATAACATAACTTCTAAAGTACTACACACATACAAAAGGAATGTTATTTCAATGTGTTTTTAAGCAAGATGAAAACAATTTACCAAATCTGTAAACACCTTAAATTCAATTTACAAGTACTACAAAGGCAATTTTATTATTTAGATGCCATAATGTCAGGATTAGGATTGCTAGGAGGATGACTGGGTCCAGGAGTACTTTTATATTGAACATAAAAAATAATGCAAGAAAAATATTTAGCCTAAAAATTTTTTAAAATAATTTTCAAAGCATCTACTACATACACACACACACACACACACACGTTTTCTAAATAAGAGAACATCTATTTGGCAAATAACTTTATATTATACAGAATCTTAAAAGAAACAAAAATAAAATAAAAATCTTCTTAAATGTTTACTAATAAATAGTGTTCAATAATTTAAGATCGGGTAATCATAAATTTTTTTCTGACTAATTCAGGTATACTAACCCCAAACTACATGATGGATTTCAATGTCATCTCTCTCTCTCTCTTTTTTTTTTGAGCTGGAGTCTCACGCTGTCGCCCAGGCTGGAGTGCAGTGACATACTCATAGCCACCCCAGCATCGACCTGCTGGGCTCCGGCGATCCTTCCACCTCAGCCTTTCAAGTAGCCAGATCTACAGGTGCGCACTACCCTGCCCTGCTGATTTTTTATTTATTGTAGAGACAAGGTCTCACCAAGTTGCCCAGACTGGTCTCGAACCCACAGACTCAGCCAATCTACTCGCCTCGGCATCCCAACATGCTGGGATTACAGCATGAACCACCGAGCCTGGCCCGTCATCTCTTAATATTCTTACTCTTTATTTTAAAGAGTAAAAAATTAAGAGCCCTCCTTTTCAAAATAAAAATTGGAGCATAAAAGTTACATAGCAAGCCTGTGGCAGCTATCTTTAGAAATGCCTGCTCATGAGGTTAGCCCTAGACTAGGATTGGGAGTTTGTACTCAAACCATTCCCTAGCTGAAAACATAGTTCACTGTGTAGACTGTTTCTATAAACAATATGATTTATGATGAATACCTCGTTTTTGTGTGGAAGGAGTCTGGAATGTTGGTACTTGCTAGGCAGAGTGGTAACTTTGCAGGCAGCCCAATAAAAACCTTAGGTTTCAGTCTCTAATAGGTTAGTTTCTCCAGGGGCAGAAATACTATATATATGTTATTGAACAATGAATAATGGTTCATTGCTAGATAAAGGAACAAGTTCAGAAGAAAGAGGAGACATAAAAATTTGTGCAAGTGTGTGTGGGTGTGGTGTGTGTGTGTGTGTGTGTGTATAAAGTAAGAATCAATAATGTAAGTCTTTCTCAACTAGTAGTTAATTTCCCTCAATCACTTAAACGTTGAAAAAACTCAACTGGGTATTATAAATGCCTGAATTTTATTAAAAAGGGATAAGATTGAAAAGTAAACTATCAGTCTGGTATAGGCTTCACCCTTATTAAAAGGTTTTTTCTAGCCGGGCTCGGTGCCTCAGTCTGTAATCCCAGCACTTTGGGAGGCTGAGGAGAGTGGATTGCCTGAGCCTGCTGGTTCGAGACCCGCCTGGGCAACTTGGCAAGACCTCATCTCTAAAATAAATCAAAAAATTAGCCGGGCATGGTAGCGTGTGCCTGTAGTTCCAGCTACTTGGAAGGCTGAGGCGGAAGGATCGCCGGAGCCCAACAGGTCGAGGCTGCGGTGGCTGGGAGCGGCCACTGCACTCCAGTCTGGGCGACAGAGTGAGACTCCAACTCAAAAAAATAAAATAAAATAAAAGGTTTTTCCTGAGCCGGGCTCGGTGGCTCAGGCTGTAATCCCGCGCCTTGGGAGGCTGAGGTGAGTGGATTGCCTGAGCCCGGGGGTTCAAGACCCGCCTGGGCAACTTGGTGAGACCTCATCTCTACAATAAAGCAAAAAATCAGCCGGGCGTGGTAGCGCGCACCTGTAGTTCCAGCTACTTGGAAGGCTGAGGCAGAAGGATCGCTGGAAACCAGCAGGTCGAGGCTGCAGTGGCCACTCCCGGCCACTGCACTCCAGTCTGGGCAACAGAGTGAGATTCCAACTCAAAAAAAAAAAAAAAAAGTTTTTTTCTATTATCATATGGAATAACAGCCTTGTATTAGATCATCCAACTACATATTTCAGAAAAAATAATAAAGACAAATTAATTCATTCAGCTAATAGTCAACATGCACCCCATAGCAATATGGTTCATTGCTATGTACCTAAGTACATAAATAAGATGAATACAGAACAGAACACTGTCATCAGATCCCTTCCCTAGCATCATTAGAAAGTTTTTCTTAAATAAACAAGGAAATAGAGCAGAGTTCTTACGATATTTTTAAACAACAGATTCATTAGTTTGGGAACAAGTCAAAGAAAGTTAAAGTGTCTAGGAAATACTGTCATTTGTAGTCATAAAGAACATGCATAATAACTATCTTACGTCTATTATTAAAAATTAGCCTTTTGTTTACTAAAAACCTATTTCGTTCAGAAAAAAATGAATTTGTTGGTCTCATTAAAATTCAAAGAAGCTGAAAAAAAAATTTAGAGTTCAAGATATAAATTTTATCTGTTTAAACACAAAAGTAATTCTATAAATATAAATTTAAGCAATTTTATAAGAAAAAGTTACACAGAGTTATACATCTATCTATCTTTATGTATTTCAAATGTTTTTAGTGCCCACCATTTCTGCTTTACAATGACCTTGCAGTAGTAGAAGAATCTGTCAGGCAATAGTTCTCTTGTGAATTTCATTAACCATGCATCACAATACATAAGTTTGATTGTTCGTTTCTTTGAGACAGGGTCTCACTCTGCTGCCCAAGCTGGGGTGCAGTAGTGCAATCATGGCTTACTGCAGCCTCAATCTTCTAGGCTCAAGCAATCCTCTTGCCTCAGCCTCCTGAGTAGTTGAGACTACAGGCGCATGGCTAAATTTTAATTTTTTTGTAGAGATGAGGTCTCACTATGTTGTCCAAGCTCTAACTGCTAGCCTCAAGTGATCCTCTTACTTAGATTTCCAAAAGCACTGGGATCATAGGCATGAGCCATCACATCTGGCCAAATTTAAGGTCACACAAAAAAACTATCGGGGGTAACTACAGAATTGAGAAAAGAACATTTGTTTATTTACATGTTTACTACAATTTTTATAACTTTTGAAAGCAATCCAAAAGCCAATCTAATTATGGAAAAAATAGAGCTACAGAATAGGGTGGAGGAAAAGAATTGGAAAGACATATACTCTAAAACACTAACAGAAATTATAAATAGATTTAGTTTTCTCATTTGCTTTTCTATATTTTCTGAAATGTTCTAAAATAAGAATTACTTTTATGATCAGGAAAAGTTATTTGAAACAATAAATACAATTGTCCAAAAGCTATAACCTAGCTACAGTGTCCATGTAAATTAAATAGCAATTTGTTTTAATGAATATTCCATCTTTACTATTAGCTATTTTAAATATCATTAAATTCTCTAACTGGTGACTTGGTGAAAAAAGGAGTATTAATTGCATTTTTTCCTTTTTTCATTGGATTCTATATAACAGACGTTAATAATTGGCTGATATTAGATTACCAAAGTCAGTAAAAATCACTATAACTTAAAATGAAAAAAAAAGATGTTCTCCACATTACTTATAAAATCCAGTTTATTCTATAAAGATGTTTTCTATGAATATAGCGTCTATATTTAAAATGTTTATAAGTTAATAAATATAACCTACATTGAGAGCAATCAGGATGATGTCATTTACATTGACTTTGTCAGGAGAACTTGTGCAAGCTTCAATGCCTTCATCTGAAAGATACCTGTTAAAATAAAATAAATGGCTTAATATTATCTAAAATCAAAATTAACCAAAATTATTTTCTTAAGTCTACATGCAATTTTTGTTTACTCCTATAAAGTGCTTATACTACAAATATTAGGGAGAGAATCTTAGATATGGACTCTATGCAGTTTACTATTTCTGACATAACAGAATGGACAATAGCTATTTTTCTTCTCTTGTACCCTTAAAGATTATCTATATGCTTTCTTTTTTTAATACACTTTCTGAAAAAAGCTATCTAAATGTCAATATACTTCTAAAGGGAAGTATAAACTACTCTCTGCTATTATGCAAATATATCTGACAATAAATATTTGGTAATGCAGTAGAGTCTTAAAAACAGATGAGATGTGCTGTAAAAACAAAACTAAAAAACACTTAGTTTTCAAATTGATCTAGGAGAAATTTTCTCTGGGTTACTCTCTTACATTATCTTCTCAAGTCTTTCTTTAACATAATGTTCTCAAGAATCTTTCAATAAATACTATTGGCTCCAAGTAACACAAAAATAGGTGACTTTTTACCATACATCTTTTACTTTTCCTATCTCTTTTCACTTTTTTTTACTCATTGTCTTATTTGCCCTTTTTTCTTTTCTCTAGCTCAAACCAACCATGCATCTGTCAAAGACAATAATTAACTCAAGAGTCAGAGATCCTGATTCCTCAAAGGGGTGAAAAATCATTTCTACCCATCTACCCATACGCAACATGAACATTTTGACATTCTTTGATAAAGTCTACAATTCAGGTATCATCCTCAAAAAAGTCCACCTGTAAATATGCCCACCAACATCTCACATTTTTTGTAATCAGTATCAACCCCTTTAACCAAAGGGCTAATGCTACCATCACAACTGCAGACATTCTCCCACTGTTAGGGGCTCAGGAACAACTAATGTAATAGATCTAACTCAAGTTCATCCTCGATGAACAGCAATTCCTCCATCAGCCCCCAACACTAGACTAATTCTAAGACACTTGTCAAAGCAAACCCTACCTGGAGACAGCAATCAAAAAAGCGCATGCCTTTAAGAAGTGAAAAATAATTTCTCCAAAGTAAAAGAGCAAATTTTTAAAAATGTGACTAATTGGAACCATACAAAAGAAATGTGACTAATTGGGACCACACAAAAGACTAATTGATCTGCCCATGAGTAAGAAGACCAAGGAGATAAAAATCAGCAAAGAGTATACTTGAAGTCAAAGCAAGAATGTTAACAAAATTAGGTACTATTAAAAGTTTAAGACCAAGGCAGAGCTACACTACAACAATGAATGGAGGCAAATAGTTAAATGGATGGCAGAAAACAGAAGTGTTAAGTATGTAGATGAGTCAGTAAGAATGAATAGATGGTAGGCAGCAAAGAATACATAAGTGGACATGGAACACAAATGTCTGCAATCAACTTAAATGGTTAAAATATGGCTTTAATTCAAAATAGTAAAAGTAATTTCCTTACTATCCTGTTAGTCACTCTTCATAGCCATTTACTCCATCTGTATTTCTAATTAATCTTACAAATTCAGTTATACAAATGTTAGTTAAGCCCTTATTATAAGTATTTTGTGAATCAGCAACAAGATTAGTAAAATGATGAAAATTAAACACTAGTCTTCAGGGAGTGAACAGTCTCCTATACAACATAACACAATGCATAAACAACTATCATACAAGGCCAAAGCAATTATAAGTGAAATATTAGGAGGGCTCAAAGTGACTGAGAAATGGGAAAAAGTGTATGAAAGGAAACAGTATGAGGAAAAGAATGGAAGTGAGAAAGTGTGAAGCACCTTCTAGAAGTAATATACAGGAACATTCTGATAGCAAAATGAAGAAGAAATGACAGATAAGTAAAAGCTGTGACCAACTTTAGATAGCAACAGTTAACAAAAGGATATGGGTGATACACAAGGGATGACCAAAAGAAATGGAATTATATTTTGGTGGTTGGCCCCTGTAGTTGGTGAGAGGCTGCATTCAGCTTCAGAGATTTTTTTTTTTTTTTTTTTTTTTTTTTTTTTAAGATTCTTTCAATGTGTTTGCCCATTTCCTAAAGGGTAATTTACGAGCACACCTGCCCACATCACACTAAATGTTCAGTACTTTTTGGCCCAAAACGGCAGCAGCCTCATGCCCCACCCTTCCAATTCACCTGATCTCACCAGAGGATGAAAGAAGTCCTCAAAGGGAAATCTTCTGCCAAAACAGAAGAGGTAAAACAAAAAATGGTAAAAGCACTAAGAGGCATCAATACTGACAAATTCAAAAACTGTTTTGAGCAGTGGAAAAAGCATCTTGATAGGTGTATTGCATCAGAGCATTCTGAACGTGACTGAAATTTAAACATGTGAGAATAAGTCACAATGTTTTATAAATAAATTCTGGAGATTTTTTGAGTCCCCCCCTCATATTAAATGCTGATTGAGTGATTACAAAAACACAACTTTCCAAACTTCCCACAGGAGGGAAATCGTACACAATGACTAAAAGAAATACTCTGTTTTGAAGAAAGGCAACTCTAGAATTAAAGGATTATCAGATGAACTAGAATACATCTTTAAAAATAATCAAAGTATACCTCTGCAATTGTACAGATGAAGAAAAGGAGCCTTAGAGATGTTAATTAAACTTGTCCCAAAAATACAAATTTAGGAAATGCAAAGTTAAAAACAAGAATGTCTCCTAACTCCCAAGTCAGCACCCTTTTTATACAACATACCATTTTAATTTCACCAACAACTAATGCTAATAATTAGGAATATGATCGTTTCGTAGACAAAAGCCAATATCTATACAAATCCATTTTCTAATCAACAAGATACTTCACCCAGCACATACACACACAAAGCACAACTAGACAAATTAAATCAGTGAGCTTCAAAGTGTAGTTTCACAGTAAAAGATCAAGAAACTAATATCAACTAATGATTAGAAATTCAAAAGTTGTTAGAATGATAAAAATATCCATCTTTACAAAATATAAAAAGGGAAAGTTTATCTAACAAAAAGTCTAAAGGCAGAGCTCTAACAGAATGAAAATTTGACTTTATCTACATAAGTCAAATATGTGATTTCTTTCAAATAATGCCTATATAAGGCATCCTGAACATAACAAAATCAAAAAAATTGTCTCTGTAATTTTCATGAAAAAAGGCACCTATCCACAGCTCTCCCTGAGTAACACCTTAGAGATCCTTCTGTAAATACTGAAAGGACTGAACCTAATAACCATAATTTGGGACTTACAAATTAATCTTTTTGTTTTGCAAACATTTAAAGCTCCAATATTACCAATGACAAGTGACAAAAATAGTCAAATGCCAGAATCTGCTTCAAGGTGCACCAAGGTAACACAGTAATTGAAAGAACAAAGCAACACAAGATTCACCAGCCTTAACTGTGGTCATAGGAAAAGGAACTGAAAAGTGGAGCAGGCGCACCAGGTATGATCCCTGGCGGACCTCAAGGGAAGAGAATTATAGTCAGTTCCCACGTACCATCTTTCAGCATGCAAACCCCAAGAAGATGGACAATAAAAAAAGAAATTGAGAGAGGAGGTAGCTAGAGAAAAACTAGCAGACAGGGCAGGTTCCCCAATAACAAAGTAGCACAAACTTCCTGAAGACTCCTCCCATTGATATACAAGGAGGTAAACAAGCTCCCTACAAACCCAGCAGCCTAGGGTAAGACAACTCACTGCTGGGATTGAAAAACAACCAATCAGCACACCTCGCACTTAAGTGCCAACCAATCAGCTCACTATTAGGCCCCTACCACCAGTCGATTGGTTCTTAGTACTGACCAATCACCACAGTTAGTGCCAACCATTCAGCCCCTAGCTAGAGTTAGCCAATCAGCTTGGTCTTAGGGCTATACAAGTACCAGGTTTCAGCTCCATATTGGCAACCCCCTTAGGTCCTCTCTCACTCTGGGAGCTTTTCCATCCTCTCAATAAATCCTGCTTTCCCACCTTTGGCCATGTCCCTCACTACTCCTGGACACAAGACAAGAACCTAGACCTGAAAAGTTGCAGAAGATCAGAGCAGAAGAGAAACACAACCTTGGAGGCTGGCTTGCCAGTCGATAGAACCAGCTGAACAGGGAGAGCCGCCAGCAGAAGGTGAGATTCTGAAGCTGAGACACTTCTAAGGGCTGGCTTGCCAGCCCACCAAATCAGCAACACTCTCAGGGCCTGGCTTGCTGGCCCACTAGAGCCAACAGTCCTGGGGTTTGACTTGCTAGCCCATTAGAGCCACCACTCTCTGGGGTCAGGCTTGCTGACCCATTGAGCCGACACTCTTCCAGCCCAGGCTGACCTGATAAAAAATTTGTATCAAATTGAACCCCAGGGGGCTACTGTTTACTAAAACAGCTGGCAAAAGGACGCATTTTCTCCTCTCTGTGCAGATGTCAGACAATAATATTATAAAACCACTCACTACCACTCTAAAAATATACCTGAATATATTTTATTGACAAGCAGGGAACTAAAGGGTTAAATTTCTGTGTTATACAGAACAAACTAACATTTCTCACTAATTCTACCTTCAAATAATGCAAATTTTTAATCACGAGTTTAGCAAGTGCTCAATTTTTTAATTTTAGAAAATATTTCCTTTTTTAATAAACAGAAAACATTAAAATTCTGTCTTAGAGTCACCTAATTGGTAATCCTGAGCATTATTTTTAACTTTAGAAATAAGAGCTTTAAAATTATCATAAGCTACCAATTTAGAGGTGGGTAGACCTTTTTCCTATTGTAGGTAATGAATTTAATAAGGAAAGTCACCAAGCTTAAGCGCCACTACCAGAACTGTCTTCACCTCATTTTCTAAAGTTGTTTGGCACATAAAACAGACATGTCCAAACTGTACTTCAAGAAGCTCAATTGGCAGAAAACTGTGATAAAATAAACACTATGGTCTTAATCTCATTTATTAGTTCCAGATAGAGGATTTCCATTACCATCC